AGCTTTTTTGCACATTTCACGAGATCCTATTCAATCAGTATTTAAAATGTGACCAAATGTGGCTGAAACCAAACCTTTTATCACCCGACACAGGAGCATCCGCACACCCTCCTTCTGCTGCGAGCTGAAATCTCAGCTATTTAGCTATTTGTGTGATCATTTAGTACGCTCAGGTAATTATTTTTAACAGCGCCATTCGTCAATGTATGTTTTATTTTTACCCAGCCTGTGATAAATGCAGAGAAATCACTTAGCAGGACGCTGGAGAAAATAAATGCGAAGGAAAAACTGTATATGCTCTTCTGCTGCGTATAAAAAATTAAACTGACTATTACATGGTTGGGATTTTAGGCCGCTCTCTCAATAAGAGCCCCGCTGGCGAAATGCGTCAAATCAATGGGGCAAACCTGTAATAACAATAAGGTGTATTTTTTTGTGCTTCAGCAGTGCAGCCAATCATTCCAACACCTTCCGTCCCTCACATCACCGGACATCAGAAGCGTAATTTCATGTTGACAGCCAACATAATTGCAACTTTATTGCACGCAGTGTCACAGCACTACAATGAGCATTAACCGCTGTAACACGTAAATAAGGGCAGGCAGACATTTCTGCTCGTGTTATGCTTATGAAATGGAAAGCATTAATTCAGCAGACTGTGCAATCATCTCAGTTTTTCATTTTCTCTTCCCACATTTCATTAACGCTTCTAGACTGTCTGTGGGGAATGAGCAAAATAAGCAAAACTAAAGAAAGGCGTAAATCTTTTAAGATGTGTTTTCTGAAGCTATAGCCATTTTGGAATGCAGCCATCATCTAATGTTTGCATTAAATATTTAATATGCTAAACATTGAGCTAGAGAATTACTTTTTTGGGGGGCAAAGCATGGGATGATGTATCATCTCTGATCAGAACTTGTTTTAATCTGTACCAGTCATGGCGTGGGCGTATGAGTCACTTTTTTTTCCCTTTTTTTTTGAACGTCTCGTTTTCAAAACACCTCGTTTTCATTGATGAGGCCTTTGTAACGGCATCGAGTGCTTTCCCTCGCATCATTTTCGACCACTCATCCACTTGAGAGCAAGATCGATGTTTCACACAACTATGATAATGATTTTCAGTGATGATTTCGAGCCTTGATCTTCATGGGTCTGATAGCAAACACTGTCTCAGAAACACCTGCCAGCTCATTTCCACTTTGTGTCTGGTTATTCCAGCAACCTTGGGGCACGGAGCTGCGATTGTTACTTCTTGTGAATTCTTGTTTGAACTCGTGTACTCACGGTGGTTACTGAAAAGAGAAATATCCAGTAAAGATATGACTATAAACTGTGTTTCATTTATGTTATGACCAATACAGTTAAAGTCCCAAGGTCAGAACAGAGCCAGTTTCAGTCAGTACAGAACAAATGCAATGATGGCTTAACTTTACCAAGTCTACACCTGGATAGAAACAGGACAGGAGGTTTATTTAACCCAGGGTTAGTGTTGCCATAAAATAGCTGATACAGCTGTTTCCATCTACTTTTGCTCTTTTTAAAGTTGGTTACTGATTGTTCATATGCTTTGCAGCTTTGGTTGTCGTATTGATTTGCTCCTAACAAAAACTGGTGAGGCTAAAATTGAGCTTGTTGTGTTTGATAGTGAGTTAAAAAAAACAACCATATTTTAGATTTAGTAAATAACGCACCGGGTAAAGTAATGCAGTTTTTTGGTGCTATATTGATCCAAAGTGGATCAAAGTTTGAACCCAGTCTTTCTTAGCTTCTGTGGCCCCCGTTTCTCATGAATCCTACAATGCATGATTCAGTCAGTGAAGTTTTTTAACATCTTCTGAACAAAACTTGCTCATAACTGTCATTGAGAGGCAAGTCTTAACTTTTACGATTACTTTCCTATGATTAAAAAATAAAATCTATTTTAATTTATGACTATATATCTCTACATTTATACACCTTCTTATACATATTTCAAACCTATAATAGTGTATGCAGCTTTAAAGTTCATTTTCCCAGAGAAACTAATCAGCCATAACAGTGATACTCAACTTACGGCCCACGTGTCAAATCAGGCCCGAAACAGGGCGCTGACAGGTCCGCTGACTATTTTCTAATTTATGATCAGGGCTGCAACAAATGATTAGTTTCGTGATTAACTGAATAGTTGTTTGGGCTACAAAGTGTCAGAAAATGGGGCGGAAGAAAAAGCCCAAGATGGCATCCCTCACCCCAGAGATATTCAGTTTGCTGTCATAGAAGAGTTCAGGAATTCAAAACTACTCACATTTAGAAAGCTAGAATATGAGAACTTTGTCATTTTCTCAGTATAAAACTACTCAACTTATCAAAACATGGCCATGAATTTAGGAGTAGACAACTCATCGATTCATTGTAAGTAAAAAAAAAAGGGAGTTTTCTGATTTGTTTATACAGTTCATGTCTAACACTGCTCCTTGGCTTTTACTCAGCTGATTAGAAAAGAAATATTCTCAAAGAAAGACGAGTTATGGCTCTTATAATAGTCTCATTTGCTCATTAAGTGGCCCCTTGGTCTCCTGTCATTTTGCAAAAGTGGCCTCCAGACAAAGCAAGACGAGCATCCCTGAACCAAAGGGATAAAAATAACGCATCCTAGAGCCCGCAGTCCACGTACAACCCGAGTGGATTCACCCCCTCTTCTCTGCTGCACTGCTCCCAAAGCCTTCTGAGGGGGGCTTGGTTTTATCATGACGATAGAGGGCGCTAGTAAGCAAGGATAAAGCCACTGCTGGAATTCAGACAGCCGTCTGAGAAAGATGCAGCTGCTGAGACTGGCTGCCTCTTTTCCTCTTCCCCTCCTTCCCCTCCTCCTCATCCCGCTGTCCCTCACTCCTTCACTCACTCATTACACTTATTCACTGTATAATTCCACACGCGCGCACACGCACGCACTGTATGAACAGGTTCCCAATTCAAAGTTCAGGAAATCCTCACGCACGCGCATTAAAACGCACAGCCACCTTTTCTCCCCCCCTTCTTCTCATTTTTGCACTTAACACGGCAGCACAAATGCGCGCCGTAGCTCAGATGAATCCACCTTAAGCACCCAAAAATGTGCCAATTTACCCACCCCCTTTTCTGTTTTGGCTACCGTGCGTCCGCGGTGTGCTTCGAGCATGCTGCTGGAGAGCACGCCCGCCAGCATGACATGAATGTCTCTTCAAAAATGTGCCCATCACAAGCACTTGAATGGCAACTGCGGTAGGACACACACCGCGCACGCTAATCTTACACGAGGAAGTGAGAGGTTTGCGCAGTGGCCGAATAAAACAAACCGAATGACCGCGCTGAAGAAAAGGGTGGGAAAGAGTGAAAGATTCCTGCCTTTAGTCCTGTCTTTATGCAAATCCGAGCCACGGTCTCAGATTCCTGGATGCTGAGTGGACCGAGCAGGCAGAAAGACACCGAGCCCGCTGCGCCGGAGAGCACAGCCACTGGCGACCACACGCATTCATATTAGTAACCACAGGGAAACCACAGCACTGCGCACACAGCCAGACCTGTCCCGTCTCCCCTGTCCTGCTATTGCTCTGTCCTACCCTGCTTGACAGACATTCAGGACTGTTTCATATCACATTTTTTAAAAAAACACACAAGTCAAGCAAAGAGTGCGTAAAAGTTATTTGCGCTGTCACACAAGGAATCTCTTGCGGCAACGCCAACAAGCCCTCACCAGACCGCGTATTCTACAAAATGTAGTCATAATTAATTATTGATTTATTATTATATAATGTCTCCAATGCTGTTAAAGACATTAAAATAGTTGTTTTGATCGCCACAGTGCCCACAGGAGCGTAAATATGAAGCATCCGAATTGTCCACACAAAGTGCCGAGCCACGTCTCGAAGAAAAAAAGAAAAAAAAACAGCCGCTGAAAACGACCACATTAATGCATATCCCCTTCCTCTGTCCCTTTCTGTCAAATATTGTCTGCTGGCCTCTGGACCCGGCGATCGAGACCAAGTCCGACCCTGTTTACGTGCGCTGCTGGGGGAGAAGGAACCGGAGGGGGGGTGGAGAGAAGGAAGGGAGGGAGCGAGAGAGAGAGAGAGAGAGGAGAGGAGAGGGAGGGAGAGAGAGAGAGGGGAAGAGAGAGACTGCAATATCATTTGTGAATCCCTCTCACAGTGCTGCAGATAGGGGCTGCCAACACATGCGTCGCGTCTGCAGGTGAGGGAACAGGCTGAACATGCTGGACACAGTGAGGAATTCAACCAGCGTTTCCTAAAAAAAAAAACTAAAAAAAATACAGCATCGGATATACATTTTTGTTTTTGCTTTTGGTTATTTTCTTTCCTTTTTTCCTTTTTGAAATCACTGATTTTTTTCAGCAGGTTGCACATCGTGGAGTTGGTTCGCCCAAAAAAAAAAAAGAAGGAGAGCGAGAACTGTACTATTCTGCTAGTTGCAAGTGACTTGGAAGGAGAGAGAGGAGAAGGAGAGAGAGAGAGAGAGAGAGAGAGAGAGAATAGGGGAACCGGACAGGTATTTTGCCTCGTATTCACATCCTCAAGACCGGAGAGTTGACGAGCTCCGCGCAGTCAACACTCGCCGTATGATGAGTTTGGAAACTGCGCGGGCATTTAAATGATCCTCTGACATACGTGGACATATCATCGGACAGAGGGATATTGCAGCCTCACCCCTGATTTTTTTAAAAAAAAGGAGATTCCACAAACTGTGAGTAAAACGGAGCGACATGGACTGAATTCACTTTCTGGTGATGTGATGCTCGGACTATAACATTTTGGCTTTTACGCGCATGACATTCAAATATTTGGGGCACCGTCCGGAGCGCACGGAGCCTCTCTCTCTTTTTTTATATCACTGCGGGTTTTTTTGAGTAAAACAAGAGCAACAAACATACAATACTGAAGGAGGAAAAACAGAGGAAAGCCCGTGTACTTGCTGCTTTTCACTGCAGCAGGAGCGATAGGAAGTGGTCCGGAGGATGAAGTCTCACGCATCCCGAAGCAGAGGGCTTTGCTCTTAATGAAAACGATATTTCTTCTCTGTATTCGGACTTTCCATTAGTGATTAATTTTTTTTTTGACATTTTCTTTTTTCTAATTTAAGTGGACATTTTTCTGGAGTGAACAATGAGGACTACTGGTGCAGTGGACTATTTGTACTATTGCATGCTCATCCTGCAGCTTGTGCATCAGCCCGCCGCCAAGCAAGTGCTCCGGTACCGTTTAGCAGAGGAGGGACCCGCCGATGTCAGAGTAGGGAACGTAGCCGCCGACCTGGGCATTGTTGCCGGGTCCGGTGAGGTGACATTCACTCTCGAATCAGGCTCCGATTTTTTCAAAATAGACAACATAACAGGTGAGCTCACCACCAACGAGAGGCGGATAGACCGGGAAAAATTACAGCAGTGCCAAATGATATTTGATGAAAATGAGTGCTTTATAGATTTTGAAGTGTCAGTGATAGGACCAGCCCAGAGCTGGGTCGACCTCTTTGAGGGAAAAGTCATCATATTAGACATAAACGATAACACTCCGTCTTTCCCTTCTCCTGTCCTGACACTGTCTGTGGAGGAAAACAGACCGATTGGAACCCTTTATCTGCTGCCCACAGCCACAGACAGAGATTTTGGCAGAAATGGAATAGAGAGATATGAGCTTATCCAGGACAATGGGGAGAACTCAAGGCGCTTGGGGTCCTCGGGGGATTCATACTCGGGGAAGAGGAGATTTGACGAAGGAGCGAGCAGGAGCAGTGTCTTTGAACTGCAAGTTGCTGACACTACTGATGGAGAGAAGCAGCCTCAACTCATCATTAAAGGGGCCCTTGATAGGGAACAGAGAGACTCCTATGAGCTCACGCTGCGTGTTAGGGATGGAGGAGATCCCCCTCGCTCCTCGCAGGCCATTCTGAGGGTAATGATCACTGACGTGAATGACAACAGCCCTCGGTTTGAGAAGAGTGTGTATGAAGCTGACCTCCCAGAAAACAGTTCCCCTGGTGCCCCCATACTACAGCTTAAAGCGGCTGATGCAGACGTGGGGGTTAATGGTCAAATCGAGTATGTGTTTGGGGCAGCCACAGAGTCAGTACGGAGGCTGCTGAGGTTGGACGAGAGCACAGGGTGGCTGAGTGTGTTGCACCGTATTGACCGTGAAGAAGTGAGCCAACTGAGGTTCACGGTAATGGCCCGTGACCGAGGCCAGCCACCCAAAATGGACAAGGCCACTGTGGTGCTGAACATCAAGGATGAAAACGACAACGTTCCTGCTATTGAGATCAGAAAAATCGGCCGCATTTTCCTCAAAGACGGCATCGCCAACGTGGCTGAGGATGTGGTCGTGGACACACCCATCGCCTTGGTTCAGGTGTCGGACCGAGACCAGGGGGAAAATGGCATCGTGACCTGCACAGTTGTGGGGGACGTGCCCTTTCAGCTCAAACCAGCCAGTGAGATGGAGGGTGAGCAGAATAAAAAGAAATATTTCCTCCACACGTCTGCACCACTGGACTATGAGGCCACACAGGAATACAATGTGGTCATCGTGGCTGTAGACTCTGGAAGCCCCAGTCTGGCGAGTAATAACTCTCTTATCGTCAAAGTGGGCGACACTAACGACAACCCTCCTATCTTCAGCCAGAATGTAGTGGAGGTGTCGTTTCCAGAAAACAATGCCCCTGGCGAGAGGGTGACAACAGTGGCAGCCATTGACGCAGATAGTGGGAAGAACGCTGAAATAGCCTATTCCCTAGACTCATCAGTAAATGGGATTTTCTCTATCGATGCAGACAGTGGAGACATCCGAGTAAACACCATTCTGGATAGAGAGCAAACAGAGCGCTACGAATTCAAAGTGATAGCCAAAGATAAGGGCATAAACACCCTTCAGGGTTCTGCAACAGTGGTTGTCCTTGTGGCCGATAAGAATGACAATGAACCAAAGTTCATGCAGGATGTGTTCACCTTCTATGTCAAAGAGAACCTTGATCCAAACAGTCCAGTCGGCATGGTTACAGTAATTGATGCAGATAAAGACCAAAATGCAGAGATGGGTCTTTTCATAGAGGAAGAAGAGGACATCTTCTCTATTGAGAATGAAACTGGGACAATTTTCTCCACTTTGTCTTTTGACCGAGAACAGAAAACTACATACACATTCCGTGTCAAAGCTGTGGATGGAGGCGACCCTCCCAGATCCGCCACCGCAACAGTTTCACTTTTTGTCATGGATGAAAATGACAACGCACCGACAGTCACCTTTCCAATAAACAACTCCTACACGCTCCTCCCTCCCTCCAGCAACATCAGAACAGTCGTCAGAACCGTCATCGCCACTGACACTGACACCGGCATCAACGCAGACCTGAACTACAGCATCATTGGGGGAAACCCCTTCAAGCTTTTCGAGATTGATGGGGGCACTGGGGTCATTTCACTGATGGCGAAGCTGGAGCAGAAGCACTATGGCCTCCACAGACTGGTGGTCCAGGTGAACGACAGTGGGCAGCCCTCGCAGAGCACCACCACGCTGGTTCATGTTTATGTTAATGAGACTCTTTCCAACTCCACAGTTGTGGAGGCCCAGGTGTCTAAGAGCCTGAGCACGTCTCTCAACACCAACATTGCTGGAGACCCAAACTATGATCTCAGCAAACAGCGATTAAGCATTGTAATCGGAGTAGTTTCGGGCATCATGACAGTCATTCTCATCATCCTGGTTGTTGTCATGGCCCGTTATTGCCGTCCAAAGAATAAGAACGGCTATGAGGCCGGCAAGAAGGATCATGAAGACTTCTTTACACCACAGCAGCATGACAAATCCAAAAAACCCAAGAAAGACAAGAAGAAACAGAAGTCCAAACAACCTCTCTACAGTAGCATTGTCACTGTAGAGGCATCCAAACCCAATGGGCAGCGCTATGACGGCGTCAATGAGAAGCTGTCGGACAGTCCCGGCATGGGCCGCTACCGTTCAGTCAACGGAGGGCCGGGCAGCCCAGATCTGGCCCGCCACTACAAGTCCAGTTCACCACTCCCCACTGTCCAGCTTCACCCGCAGTCACCAACAGCTGGAAAAAAGCACCAGGCAGTTCAGGACCTGCCCCCTGCCAATACCTTTGTTGGCACCGGAGATAACATTTCGCTTGGATCTGACCACTGCTCTGAATACAGCAGTCAAACTATCAACAAGTACAACAAACAGGTAAGAAGACACATCTCAATGTTCTTTTGTTTCCCTCCACTACTCTTAAATGTCTTCTGCTTCTTCCTCTTAGTGTTCTCTCTACCATAATGCTTTCTGACAGGGCTAGTCTCAGTAGTCTTGTTGCCTTTATGGTGCTAATGTGTGTCAAGTTAGCGGTATTGATCTGTTTTGGTTTGGAGTGCCATTCACATGTAATATTGAAAAGAAAGAGAAAGGTTTAGATTAGCTTAGGAGGGAGTATTGTTACCACTCGGCCAAACATGTCGAAGTTTTTTACTTTTATCACAGCGTGTGTTCAAGCTGCCTTTTCCGTCATGGGTGTCACAACCACTAACCCTGGCAAATATGTGTCGGAGTGTTGTAGACAGCTCACATAAGGGTTTGGTTTGCAGTTATTTTATCCCAGAGGGGAGCTTGGCAGGGGCTGGCTACACTCCCCCTTAGCCGTGTCAAGCCCTGCCCTGCCCTCTGTCTGTGACAAGGCCACCTTTTCTTCTCGTGAAAGGGAGACAAAAAAGAACAAATGTGAAACGGAGAGAAAGGTAGAAGTAGGCTGAATGCCACACCAACATGGCTTTGTAGGGTTTGTGAGTCAGTTTTTACAGTCTGTGCTTGAGTAGGAACATTTGGCCAGGCGGTCATATTAACATTCTCCTGCGCTTCGAGGTCTGCATCAATTCGTTGACCCAGCAGTGAAAATAGACATTTTTATATCACCTCCCATATTGTGCCTCAGTTTCTTCTACTCCCTTATCTGTTCCCCGGTATATAAATGTCTGCCATCTTGTACCTGCTTTTCTTCTCCTCCACCCTCCGGCGCTTCTTACGTCCCTTCTGTTTTTGCTTTTCCTTCCTTTCTCCTCTCAGTAACTTCAATTTGCATTAAATGCCACAAAACATGTGCTTTTACGGATTCGGTCTTTATTTATTCTTTTTGACTGCTTCCGCACTGTCAGGTGCAACAACAGCTTAGAATTAAGTTAATACTTAATGAAGCCAGCCGATTTGTGTTTTCAGGGAAAAGAACAGTATTGTATGTTTTTTCCATGGCACTCTAATGAATTATTGATCTTTCTTTTACTTGGTGTCAGCACTATTCTTTTAGAAATCTAAAGTGTTGCTCGCTCAGTTGCTCTTTTTTCCTTTTTCTATTTTCCTCATTCTTTTGCTTCAGATATTTTTACTTTGCTCACATTGTCCGTTATCAACATTTCCCCCTAAATTGTCCTTTGGACCTGTGTACAGCATTCTTGCATACCTTGCATCCACCGCCTGTTGTTCCTCTCTATTCCTTTTTCTCTCTCAGTTTTTTTTTTTTTTTTGCCTCGGCCACATCATACACTTCACAACGGTGCTCTCCGCCTTGCCTTTTTTCTCGCTGTAGTTTCTTTTTTAATCTCCACTCTCATCTCTCTATACACCTCTCCCCTCCTTCTTGCCATTTCTCCTCTCAAATCATTTCAGTCCCCTTTTACTTCTCTCCCTTCTCTTCCCCTGCTCTGTCTCTAACAGCTTCTAATATGGTGTATTCACTGAGCTGCTTCCCAGAGTGTGAGGAGTGCTGTTGCTTTCGGATGTCTCCTGCATAATTAAAAGGGCACTCTATTTGCTGCTGCGGCAGCAGCATGTATTGTGTGTCACTATGCTCCACTTATATAATTATTTATTTACTCTCTACATTAATGCTGCGGCAACTTTTACGGCCTGTGCATTTGTTAGAATACAGTGTCTTGGACAAAACTCAGTCTGCAGTGCCCAAAAGTAGCGTGATTTATGGGCACTTAGTTTAGATAGTGGACTTATAAAATAAAAAAGAAAAGGTTTACTGACCTATTGGGCAAGATCAAGCATGTTTATTGTGTTGTAGAGCTGGTTCGGTATTTAATACACAAAGGCTACCAGGTATTCAAATTGCCTTTTATACCCTATGGGCCTCGTAAATACTTACTGTTGATACGTTCAGTTGGGGTGAATAGGGCGTAATTAAATGGCGGCACAAGAGAGCTAATTGAAGAGAAGGTGTGTGTTCATGTGCTCCAATTATGGCATTAAACAGCCACCTCTATATTAGATTAAGTAGTGAAGCGGTCATGCTCTTGATTTTCGGGACGCTGCATCTAAAAATATTCTGTTGTCTGGTAAGTGCCTCTACAGCTAAAGACATAATAAAACACTCAAGGACACTTGTGTGCCTCGCAAGTATTTGTGCAAAATTTGGATTAGTCCTTATAAAGACAAAGAGTAACATTCTTTTTTTTTTGTTTTAGATTGTTTGTAGCTGTGTATGAATATGACTGAGCCTTGACATAAATTTTTTGCCTTTTATCAGATTCGGCCGTCAGTGTGTTTGAACCTTTGCTCACATTTATGACTATTAATGACACGGAACATTTTTCATTGTATGTGTGTGTTTTGTGCGCATACACGCCTCACCCACAAACCCTTCTCTTTTACCACTCTTTCTCTTTTTGTCCATCTGTGGGAAGAGATAGAGACAAGAAAGACGGCCCTGTTAGTGGTATAGAGAATGGCCCCTACTGTTTCACAAGGGACTTGGGGTTGGGTGGAAAGATAGAGAGAAAGACGGGGCGGGAGAGAGAGAGAGAGAGAATAGTGCTGACCATTGACTGTAATCTCTGAGGTATCGGGTTCCGTCTTTTCTCCCTCCTCGCCCACCTAATCTTACAATAACTGCACAGGCAACCTGCTCGGGCAGGTAACCAGGCAACTGAGGGAGTTTATCAGTGAGGCGAACCTTTCTTTTTAGCCCGTCAGACATTTAAACAGTCATTAAGCTGAGCTAACTGTGAGGGAGAAGCCAGCGTGTCACCCAGCAGCTGTTGAGGGCTTGAGCAGGAGGGGCAACAGACCTGACATTTCATCTCTTCCTGTAACTCCATTGATTGCGGCTTGTGTTATTCATCATTTTCCCTGTTTTTTTTTTTCCCCCCGTACCATGTGTGTACAATCCTCTCGCTCTATCTGCCCCCTTACATGCCTGCTTCCAGTCGTTGCGTCTGAAGCCTGATGAGTAGTGTATTCACTTAACAGAACACTTAACTTTATTACTTTTGGCAGTAGCTTCTGTTCTGTCTCGTGCCAGAAAATAATGCTGTCCAACCATAATGTAGTGAGGAATGAAATCACTTAGCCATTGAATTAGCACAAGCCATCAGCTTTTGTTTTATCATTGCACTTCAAAGCGCCACTCGTGCCCAGGTGGATCACTTTTAATCAGCAGTGAGCCACAGCAGCTTGTATTCTGTGCTCTTGCAGCATAGCCCCTCAGGGCAGGCAAAGCTCCAGTCCACACACACTTATACTAGGTTATCTTGCCTCGGGGCTGATGCAGCAAGCATAACTGGACATTGCCCTTAACCCAGCTCCCAGTGTTCATCTCCCATGCTCTGGCCAGCTGTTCCTCCTGTGCCTTCTCCTGGCTCCCCTGCACAAGCTGAATACGACTGTGGAGCATCTGATTTGCATAGGGCAAATCCTCACCCTATCGCAGGAGTATAGGACAAACAACATCACCATGCAAATGGAGGTCACCGAGGTGGTGTTTGTAGCCAAAACATAGGATGTGATTGCCCTTCAGGTTCCAGGCGGATCAGGAAACCAATATGGAAATGTAGTACTTTGCCTCTGGCCTCATTTGTTTCAACTTACAAAATGTAGCTGCCAAAACACCTACAAAAAGCCACAACTGACTCAAATGAACACTCAATGACCCTACACGTTAAACCTCCTCAGGTTTACCTGGACGTCCGTACGTAGGCTTACACGATCTCATGCTTTCATTGCTCAGCCTTTTTTGCTTTTTTTTTTTTTTTTGCAAAACAAATGCACAGGTGATGGCTGTCTGCTAATTTTATCTCACAAACCAGACTGATAGTAACTCACGAACTGAGCTTAATAAGGTCATTGCTTGATACGAGGTTGAGCAGGAGCTTGAACAGCTTTGGTCGTCCCCCAAACTCCACTTCTGATACGACAAGAAGGGAAACAGAAGCTGATTCATTACAATCTGCAGCTACAAAGTCGGAAATCAGCAGATTGTGATTTTAGAAAAACAAACTGATTTTTTATTTTTTTGTGGGCTCTTCAGTTAAAATTAAAGAACAATGTGGAAATCTTGCATTCAGTACGAAATGACATGATGCGCAGTGAGCTGGTTTGTTTATTGCCACATTATTATTAGCATTTGTCCTTTGTACCGCCGACTGTGGCTAACGCTATCAAAATTGTTTTGGATCTATTACGACTTAATTCAATCTATGGCTGCTCAGGCTTTTGTTGTTTATGTTCCGAAAGGAAAATGGAAGGAGTAAGAGAGCACAGTAATACTCATGAAATTGCAGCGGGCAGCATTTTCTGGTATAATTTGGTTTGGTGATTTGAATGCATTCGCTTTAAGGCAATTACTAATCTAAGGATTAGACTTACCTGATATGCAAGCAGAAATGGTGGAGACGGAGAGAGAAAGCCGGAGAGAGATAGCTGCTCGCTACAGTGTCTGCGATATTACTCTGCATAATATTTTAATACTGAGTTCCCTTTTCACTCCCTTTACCTATAGGGGAAACCGTGAAAAGTATTGCTTCATTTCAATTTCTTTGTCTTCTTTTCCTTTGTAACTCCCCCCCTCTCTCCGCATACAATAGATGTGCCAGCGAGCACAGTTGTCTTCACATGAAAATAAATACTCGTGATTGAAGAAGCTGAAGAAGCCTCAACCCATCCGCAACATTTGTCATGATAAGATGCTGAAAGACAGAGGAAGGTGTGTGTGTGTGTGTGTGAGGGGGAGGGAGGGTAGCGAGGGAGGAAAAAGACAAGAAATTTAAGCCGCATGCCACCTTGATTGCTCTCCACGCTGCTGATTGTAAGTGGCAGTGTCGAGGATGCCACCTTCTTCTCACCGCTTCTTTCAATTTGATGTCATCGAAAATGGAATTTCATTTCATACTCGGCAGCGATCGCATTAGATAGGGCTC